GATGTGATAAGTTAACCTTTTAACATAAAATCAGCATTAACAAGATAAAATTTACCAATTCATGAGATAAATAATTTTTATCAATATTAATTTTTGAACGAGAAAGAAATTAAGATTTTTTTGAATAAGTCAAATTGTCAAATGTTATATTTATTTAATTCAATAGTATGATTAAAAAAATATAAAAAATTTTAGCAACTTTTTAGAAACATAAATTAATTAATAATGACTAATTTGAAGGGAAATTATTTCTGTCTCTCATCATTGATTAATGAGGTCAGTTATAAAATTCATTTAAGGATTTGGACATTATACAATAGGACTATATTTTAAATCTCGAAGAAAATTCTACAAATATAAAACAACTTCTAAATATAAAATGAGATTAATGATGTGATTTAGATTGATCCCTGTTTAATATGGAAGATTACGGAATCCAACGCACGTTTTTTATCATATAAATACAATATAATATAATGATGAATTGATTGATTGTGTTGTGATTTCCGTATATACTTCAAGTTCCAGGTCATTTTGACACCTGTGATCATGGATGGATTTGGTTTTACAGTGTGCGGGCACCGTCACTTCACATCTTATCTTACATAAAGATGAGAAATAAATGCTACACTCCATATTTTGTAACCTTATGGGATAATAATAACAACTCACGACTCGTCTTAATCAATAATTATTTTAGTTGTCTAAAAATAAAAATAAACTCTTAATCACCATCCAATTAATTGGTCTGTTATTGGTGTTATCAAATGCCAAAAAAGATTTTACGAGTAGGCATTTGGTTTAATTAATTAAGGAAGTTAAATTAATTTATATTAAGATCTCAAGTTTGATATAATGAAGTTTCCGATTAATTTAAATAGGAAGTGATAATATCTAAAATTTCTCATGGTATTGCGTGATGGAATGAAAAAATTAATTTGAAAATTGAAAAGCTTTTTCATGTGTCTGGGGAAAAAGCATTTTGAAATAAAATGTGATCTTTTATAATTCTAATTAACTAAACAGAAAATAAATTTTGCATCTCATAAAATTTCAAAACAATAAATCATTTTTTAGACCGCATAGAAAGCCATTTTTAAAGATTGAACAGACGATCCAAAATAATTTTACTAAAGACAAACTATTTCTTTCATACAGGTTTATTCGGATGGTAGAATCATGTACGAGACTCGTGAATTCCACATCAAAAGATCATGACCGGAGGAAGAAGATAGTGAGAATTTTCCCCTCCGTAGAAATATAATATATTATCGAAATATCATAATCTTTTCCTCTCTTTTTTCTCTTTCTTCTTTCTTCTGGTTATTATTATGAAGATAAAAAAATGACAATAATTTTTTTAAATTATATAAATGATAATTTAATCTTTTAAAACATTATAATTTTATTGAAATCTCTAAAGAGTATTGCATCAATAAATTTTAAAATGACGAGACTATTTTCCTCTAATTAAAAAGAATAACCTTTAATCACAACTTTTGATTAGAGAAATAAAAAATTACAACTTATCAAATATAATTTTTGTTATTGAAAAATAATTCTCAAAGCAAAAAATTTCAATCACAATTTTTACTTAAAAAATAATAATTTTTATTCTGTGAATTATAAGAATTGAATAAAAAATCACAACTTGTCAAATACAATTTTTATTATTAAAAACAAGTTATTAAAATAACAAGCTCTAATCATAATTTTTTTAAAGAATAAAAACTTTTATATAAAAAATTACAAGACTTGAACAAAAAATTATAACTTATCAATAATAATAAAATAATCTTTTCAATTTAAAATTTATTGACACAAAAATTCTTGAAAACTCTAGTAAAATTATGATGTTTTGAGAGACTAAATTATTATTTATATAATTTGAGAGATTTTATGATCATTTTCTCTACAAACATTATCCGAGAAAATTAGATGAAAAAATGGGAGCCTATTAAGTAAATTAATTAGAGATAAAGATATAACTTGCAGGACATGTGAAAAAAGTGCAGAATTATGGAAGATAAAATATAGATTTTGGAAGGAAAAAATTGCAAAATTTGAAGCTGGTCCTTTTCTCCAATTGATTTACTTGTTTGGTGCTTTTCCACAACTTTCTCATTTTATCAATTTATTTGTTTTAGGAAAAATTAATTTTTTATTTTTTAACTTTTAACTCACTTATAATTTAATTTTTTAATCATAATTTGTTATAATTCAGTCCCTCAACTATAATTCATTAAAGGTGTTCAACTTGCATCCCTCTTAATTAGCCTAATTCCATCCCAGATATATTGAGACAGGTCTTGTCTTAGCCCAAAAATAATTAGGATAGGACACGGGATTATCTTCAAGATGTCCCATCTCGTCTCAAATATTATATATATTATTTTTTATTTTAAAAATATACATTAAATATATTAATTATACTTATATTAATAATATCAATTATAATTTCAATATGTGTAATTCTTATTTAAAGTAAAGCCTTTTATATTGATGATTTTAATGACACAAAATAAACAAGAGAGGATAATATCTTGGGAGAATCACATTCAACCCCCTCCTAAAAAAATTTATTAAAGATAAGGACCAACAATAAGTCCTATTTTGATAAAAAAAACAAGTCATATTTTTATTTTAATAATAATTCATTTCTTGTTAGTCCTCATCTGTGAGTAATTCTTTTGGGATGAGTATGGCTATAATTTTTCCTAATATCTTTCTTCATAATATATTAATTATATTAATACAATTTATTCTTATATCTATCTATTTAATAATTTTTATTTATATCACATTTCTTGCTTTATTTTTAAAAAAGAAATTAGTTTAGCATATCACAACTAAAGAAGAACAACAATGACTTGATGTCATGCCTAGCTTGTCTATTATTATCGCTCTTATAGTATAGAAATCACTTATAATTGCTATCATAATGTGTTATACACTTATAGTTGTGAATTATATAATTCAATAATTAACTTTAAATTATTGTGATTTATGTATTTGTATTATTTTGATTTTAAACTTAATAAATAACATGATTTAAAATTTTAATGAATGTTGTTATTTAAATCTTTCTCCTACATTATCTGATTTATCGAGATGGCAAGATGTCTTTATCTCGTCTTGGTCTCATCCCTATTTCTAAAAGGGCAGGATGACTTTTGGGATAGGATTAGGCACAGGATAAAATTTCAATCTCAGCCTTTTTTTAGGACGAGGCACGGGAGATGGGTGTACCAATCCCATCATGTGAACACTCATATGACTTGCTGCAACTTAATCCCTTAATTTTTGACATAAATGCTTATATTTTGTTCCAAAACACACTTTTCTTACTCTTTGATGGAATATCTAAGCTAATATGAAAAAATAGAGCTAACAAAAGTTGAGGGATTAAATTATAAACTAATTAAAAGTTAAATAATTGAGTCACAGATGAGTCAAAAGATGATAGATTGAGTTATAGCGAGTCATTATTGAAAGATTAAATTATAAATAAATTAAAAATTGAAGGATTAAATATTAATTTTTTCTTTACTTTATTATTAATTTCCATATCCATACCCACGCCGAATGATGCAAAACAACGTCAATAATTGAGTGTTTTGGCATTTTTATGGCTTCCTCAGTTTGATATCTACAGGTTCAAGATCCTTGATGTTAATATATAGGCTAAAATGAATTTTTTTTTATAAATTTTGAAGCAGTTTTACATGACCCTTTTACGTTTAAATGTTTAAATTAACTCATTAAATTTTAATTTTGTTTTTCAAAGTTCTTTACTATTAATTTTATTATTTTTTTCATAAGGGTTAAAATATCATTTAACTAAAAAAATATTATTAAATAAAATATTATATTGTAGAACTCTAGATAATCAATTTTTTTTGAATAGTTTAGGCATTGATAGCCAAAAAATGTTATTATCATGGTATAAAATTTTAAATATTTATTTTTGTATTCGTTTAATCCATTTTATGTCATCAATGATGTGTAGTTTTCTTATATTGAAGGATAAGTTAATCTAACCTGGTAATATGTAAAATTTTAAATATTTTATTCATGTGCCTTATATTAATCCAACCTAAAAATATAAATAAAAATTTATATTTTAAAATAATAAAATTATGCACCATTGATAATAAAAATATGGATAAAACTAATATAAACATAAATATTTAAAATTTTATATAGTGATAATAATGTTTTTTGGTTATCAATGTCTTAACTATTCAAAAAATATAAGAAATTGATTGTAAATAGTTCAACAATATAATATTTTTAATAATATTTTTTAATTAAATGACATTTTAACTCTTACAAAAATAATCTAACTAATAACAGGGGTTTTAAAAAACACAATTAAAGGTTAATGGGATTAATGTTAAACTTTTAAAGATAAGGGATGTCATATGTAGTTGCCTCAAAATTCAGGAAAATTTTGTGCATTTGAATCTAATATACTCCCTCCACTCTCATTTATAAAGGCATGTTTTAGAAGGTTCATCTAGTCTCATTTATAAGTCACAGTGTAATTTTTTAAAAAATATTTTTAATGTTACTCTTCATGAGAAAGAAAAAATAGTATGATATCACTTTTTAAATTTGTTATATAAGAACATATTTAAAAATTTATATATTTTTATTTCTTTTATTTTTTTATTGATATTCATAAGGTTGATAAAAATAATTTATAAAAAAAATCAGAGAAATACATAATAAATGTTATTGCAGGTTGCATAGGAGTTGGATGATTTATTCTTAGTGTTATTTGGATTAGAAAAAATATATATATCTCTTGGGTCTTTCCTCGTATGTTGATTGGACAGCTAAAATACAATTGATTGAATCTTAAAAATAACAAGGCCCAACTGAACCTACAAAATCCAATTTCTTTTCTTTTGATATTTTTGTTCTTGGCTAAAACAAAAACAATTTCTCAATGGGCTGAATTCTCTGGGCTTCAGGGCTTCCAAAATTAATAAATACGCCCACCATGGGGCTCGAACCCACGACCACAAGGTTAAGAGCCTTGCGCTCTACCGACTGAGCTAGACGGGCTTGCGCATGGGAATTCACTTAAAATTTATAAGAACAAAATAACTCAATCTCCCTTACCACCAAAGCAGAATAAGTGAATGATGGACCTCTGTGATCAACTCTATTTTATTTTGTAAAGTTATTAACTCTCTGTTTGAATAGAATATGTAAACGTAAGGGCAATGAAAATCAATTGATTAAACACTTTTAACTCAACTTTAAGGTTATTTTAAATCGAACTTATTAAAATCTCCATTTCACTCGAACCAATTGGACCATCAAAATAAACAGAAATTAAACACTGAGTAAATATTAATTTGATAACTGTACGAAAACTAATTGTATCAAAAACTATATAGGGATTGGTCTTTTTAGTGACAACTTTATAAAATTTAACAGTGTTTAGAAAGTCTGAAATAGAATTGTATAAGTAATTAAAAAATAAATATCATAATGAAAGCATAAATAACTGTATTTTATATTTCCCCGTATGTTTTAAGTAATTAAAAAAATAGAAACAAACAACTGTCATAAAAAACCTTGTTTATATATAAAATATAAACAAATTATTTTATTTTATACTAAGATCTCATCAATGTCATTCCAATCATTTTATCATTTTATTTCTCTTCTTTTTAATATTTTCACTTCTCCATCGAATCATAACCTCATTTTAATCTATTTTATTCTTAATCAACCCATTTCAATATATTTTGTCCGTTCAATAACTAAGCTAGCCCAAATTTTCCATTTAGATTTACAAAAATTTATGAATTTAAATTTAATTTAAATCTAAATTTATTTTTTATTATAATTTTTTGTAATTTTAAATTGCCTCTACACACTAATCATTTAAAATTTTTATCATTTTAAATATTTTATTTTTCAACATATGCATTCAAGAAAGAATCTTATACTAATCTTTCTTTTGATAATAAAATTTATTTTGAAGAATTTACCATCAGTGATGACAAAGTTAATACTCTCATGACTCTCATATTTTTTTAATCTCTCATTCATGTCTTTTATTGATTAAAAATAATATTTATTATTTATTATTTATATTTTAAATATCAACTCATCTTTTTTATTTGAAATTTTTTAAACTATTTAAATAAAATATTTTAAATATAAAAATTTTAAATAAACAATTTCAAATTTAAAATTTGAATTCAAATCTAACAATTTAAAGTTCAAACACTAAGAGAATATTAGATTTTAATTTTTAATCTTTGTGATTCGCTAACGTACTGGACAAAAAAATGCAAATTAAATAAACATACACCGTACAACACAACCACCAAACAGAGAACCCCACCTTGTAGTTTCAACTCCACGGATGTTTTCGATTAAAAAAAAAAAAAAAGATGAACATCCGTGGAATATAAGCTGACCAATTATTGTTTTTTCAAAGAGAACATTATTGTTTAAACTGCCCAATAATTGTTTTTTCAAAGAGAACATTATTGTTTTAATAAATAAAAAAAGATGAACATTTTGGTCTTAAAAATTCACTAGAGCTAGGGCAGTTTAACTAGGGCCGGCAATATAAGCTGACCAATTATTGTTTTTTCAAAGAGTTTGAGCTTAAAAAATCAAATGGTTTTAGTATAAATGGAATTTTAAGCCTAGTCTTGTTCCATCTCCCTTTTGGTTTTTAGGTGAATTTTTTATTTAAAATGTTTTCACGATAATGTGATATTGTGAAAAAAATCATTGATATTTGATTCCTCTGTCTTCTAATTGAAATTTAAGTTGTCATGAGTACATTGGCCGTGCAATTGGTTCTATAATGAAAGATTATTCATTATTTTTTATATATAGGACTGTCTTTGTAATTTGGAATCACCTTGTTGTCTTTTCTCGTCTTATCTAATATCTATATACAATTTACACACACACACACATCTCAAATGATTAGCAAGTAAACACTTGTTCCAAGAACTAATTAAACTATTTAAGTGAGCACAAAACCACTAACCAGGTATATAGGTGTATGTATGAGAATTTAAGACATGGACATATAGGTGCATATATCGTCATATTAATGCACGTACGTACTGTGTTTGTGTTACTTAACCCCCTACGAAAAGTTTCGTTCCTTCAAACCTTACCTTATTCTGGCCCAAAAAAAAAAAAAAAAAGGCTCAACCACCCACTCTTTCCTTCTTTTTGGTTCAAAAGGCTCAACCACGTTCACGTTTTCTCAGACTATATATTTATCTGAGACTCTTTTTATACATACACATCCATATATAGTCATTTAAGTTTTTTTCTTTTAAATTTATACTCGTGTTGTACGGAAAAAAGAAATGTCTTTCTACTTTAACATGAGCCATTAAATATAATTACCTTATAATTTGTGATGGAAAGAATATATGACAAAATATATATCTAATAAATCATTTGATTAAATTGAATGTATGTTATCGTATCATGTAAAGTATTCATCAAGTGAGTGGATATATATAATTGGGTCACTCACTTGGATTGAAATTTAGAAAGTAGTTATGGAAATCAACACTTTAAGTTGATTCTTATTAGAAAAAGTTTGAAAAACAAAAAAATACATGCGAAAGAGATTCCTATATAATAACAGTATAACATATTGAAATTCAGAGAATTATAACAATAATCTTTTTTTGTCTTTTCATGGTCGAATGAGACTCGGGACTAGGGGTTAAAATAGATTGAGTCGAGCTAGACTTTGGCCATATAAGTTTGAGCTTGTGAGATAAATTAGAGGCCTAAAACTTGTATAAGGCTTTTTTTATGGCTCAAGCCTAAACTTATTTAAAACTTGACTTAACTTTTAAGCCTATTTAAAAATAAAGCCTTTTAAATAGGCTCATATTTTAGTTTTAAATGTCTCAAATATACTTTAAGGCTATTATAATATATAACCTATCAATTATAATATATAAGAATTGAAAGAATTTACTAACTACAATACAATATAACAATAAAATAATAATATTAAAATTAATATATAAGTCAAATATGGTTGAAAATATAACAATAAGTAATAAAGAATAAATTGATTAAAAATCATATGGTGAAATTGATATATTTGTAATATAGTACATAATATATATATATATATATATAAATAGGCTAACCTATTGAGCTCGTAGACTAGGGTTTAAAAAAATATGTTTAGTATATTTAACTAAATATACTTAATTAAAGGTTTGAGCCTAGTCTAAACTTATTTAGTAAGTAAGTTAGGCTAAACCTAAAGTAGATCAAGTTGTAGGTTCCTGTTAAGAGCTTGGCCTATTCCCACACTTACTCAATACCTCTAATTAAAATGTTCAAATCAGAGGGTTTTTTTTTTTTTTTGAAAAACAAAAGAAGAAACAACACCTACTTAGGAGGTCGAAATTCTCGTTATCATCATATCAATTTTTTCAAATTCATATATATTATTTAGTAGATATATGTAGTAAATATTTTATGTAAATTTAAAAACTACTTGATAACAAAAAAGAGCTTTACCTCTATCCGCCGCTGACAGTTTGACCAAATATAAAAATTCGAACATTACTTTGAAGAAAAGTTTTGAATGAATTTCGGTTTAATGAATGTAAAAAATACATATGCAAGTGAGTTTTCCTCTTATTAATTAGTCAACATAATAAGCTACTAAATGGTTAATTTTTTTAAATAAAACAAAAAGCTTTCACTTCGCCACTGGCCACTAAGTTGATTAATTAATTTTAAAAGGTGAGAAAGCTATATCAGCTTAACTAAATGTTTCGAGTTTAAATTCTAAAAATGAAATCGCGTTCTAAAAAAATACTAATCTATCAACGGGAGAGGCTTGCTTCTCAAAAAGAATCTTTCAAGTGTTTGATGCCGATTATTGTAGTCATGTTAAGTCTCTTGAGATCAAGTCGGGCAGACTCAAGATAGCCGACACAGTACGAAATAATGGTTCACCTCTTAAAAGATGGAAGCATGCTTGCAATTTGGTTGAATTTTAATGGCAGGTCGGGTCATAATTTTTTTTTTTTCAAAAAAGGAGCCGTCCAAAATAACTGGTAATTAAAGAGCAGACATTTACCTTCCAACATGTGCCGAGTAGTCTTGATTATGGGCAGTACCACTACTTTTGGGTCATTTACTCTCGTTCTCGAACATTCATTCTTGAACGTTAGGTTAGTTATTTTTTTGACACGTTCTGGTGGAAGCATGTGCCACTAACCCACTACTTATACAATTGCTTTGACTGTATCGTTTCACTTTGAACGTTTGGTTTTGGTTTTCTACTTTAGTTCCCTCAAGCCGAAGCTAAAGTTTTGCCACGTTACATGGTGTTCAATAGCTTTGTTTTTCAATGCACTGTTCGGAAGTGGTGGAGAAAAAGGATTCAGATCTTAAAGTTATAAATATAGTCCCCTGAAGAACTATTTTGAAATGAATCTCATATCAAATATTCCCGGATCTTTAAAGAACTATTTTGAAGGATAAAAACAAACCATAATATAACAACTATATATATATATATATATACGTACCTAACAAACATGCAAACATTTTATACTGTTCTGTGTACTAAGAAATTCGTGGGGTGGATTTTCTCGGACAATGTACTTCAGACGCTAGCCATAATAAGGCTATCCTATATTTCATTTTCCCTCTAACTTGGATGACCTGAACAGTCTTGTTAAACTTATCAACCCCAACTACTCTTTTTTTCTTGACATTTTCCAACACGAGACTCATAATAATATAGCTCTGATTTTTTTGTAACATTGACATCTCAATGAAAATATCAACATTATCAGCATAAGTTTAAGGAGAAGAAAATCTCAAAAAACTAGCTTGTTTATGTTGAATAGGAGAATTCTTTAAATTTAATTATAAACCTAGTTCTTTGGTGATGAGGCTCTTGGACTCTTATGACAAATGAAAATTCTCATCCTTGTTGGCTGAAACATATACTCTTTTCAGCCTAATATATAAGCAGATTCGCATACCAATAAAATCCTTAATCTCATAATATATGAATATATATATATATATATATATATATTTGTATCCTTAATCTCAATTTATGATAAGTGAGAAGAAGGTTATAAATTCACAGTGAACACAAGAATACTTGTTAGTAAATGTAATAAGTAAAATAGGAAAAAAACTTCTATAAATATTAAGTTGTTTATATTTAAACCAACATTAATTAAGAAAAAGCGACGTATACTTTGGACGAGAGAAAAAAAGAATACGTCCAAAATCCATAACACTATCAATTTATGAATTTCATCAGTTGCATTAATATTTGTATCCGCACAAGACACAACTATACTACATGTAAATGACCACAAGTATATCGATTTCTTCTCGATTTTACTTTATTTGCACGCACTATTCATTGAAGTTCTCCATGTATGCGATCGAGGAGAAATTAAGCATCATTCAATAATCGACTCATATAAATGAATGATTCCGGCAATCGCTGAAATATACTTTCAAATGGAGCAACTACTATTAATTAATAAATAAATAAAACTTCACAATTACAATACTCTTTAATTAATTACTAGCAACTCTCCGTCACTACTTCCTCGTTATATATTACAGCAACAGAATAATAGTGGGTAGCAATTTATAACTAAGCTTTTATAGTGAGCATAGATTGACTTATCTTATGAATAAGAATATCCTGTACATGCTAATAGATACAGGAATATTCTGATCGTCAAAGGACCACTCTCTCAACGATCATCACCAGAGTAGCAATAAGCAGTGAGTGTGAGATCGAGATTCAAGTCAGGAAAAGCATTGAGGTTGAACTCGGGCTTGCTTGTTGGCTCTAATACCTTATGATCCTCGATATTATTGTTGACAGAATTCGAAGGTTCAGATTTTACAGATCCAACGTTAAAGCGATGATGACGAGGATTGTTGGGATCACGATGACCCATCTGAATAAGCTTCTTTCTTATGTGTGAGTTCCAGTAATTCTTCACCTCGTTATCAGTTCTTCCTGGTAGTCTTCCAGCTATCAGTGACCACCTGATGAACCAGTTCATAAAACATATAATAATTAATTAAATAATTTCGATACTCTTATTATATATATTCGATATTTTTTATATATTTGCACACAAAACCTTATTCATCCTTCATGATATTGGAATTCTTAATTCAATTCCATCGATACCTTCAAAACGAGTGTAAGTGTGTGTGTGTGTGTGTGTGTGAAGTATATTTTGTTTATTATTATTTTTTGAACTATAATAGAGTAGTTGCAGTGGTTGTCTACCTGCAAACTTTGAGTACTCCTTTTGAACGTTAGAGATACTAAGTACACTTTCTCCAAAAAAAAAAAAAAAAGGAAAGAAAGAAAGAAAGAAAGGGGAGAAAACTGGTACACCCACAAATAGTTCATTTTACATATATATTAGTCAAATTTCATATAACTAGAAATATTTTTCTATATCTTCTGAAGGGTCTAAGAAAATGATTTATATTGTTTGTAAAATTTGTAAATATATATTGATGATATTAAAGACTATATATGTTCTATTTGACAGATTATTTATGTCATAAATTTTTTTATGAATTAAAAGCTGTCATAATTAGATATGAAATACTTTGAGTAAATTACACAAATTTTTTTAAAATTTATTTGAAATTAATCACATAACTCCATCTACCTTAAAAAATATACACAATTTTTTGAAATAAAAAAATCTCTTTAGACTAATTATGTTTTTTTTGGACAAAATATCCTTCATATGTAATAAAAAATAAGTTAAAATTAAACTGAATTACATATAACATTTCATTTTAGATCAGAAGATCTGCGTATATATCTGGATATTGATAATTAATGATTGATAAATTTAATTTGCATAATTTTAACAAATTTAGACGAAATTTTCAAAACTCACTCAAATCATTTATCTATGTTTATGTATATCATCTTGGCGTCTCTACTCTATAATCTGAAATCTGAATACACACACTCACACACAGTACAGTACATGTATATATGTATATATAATATTATTGTATGGACGAAGCCAAAAAAAAAAAGTACGGATGATCAAACAGATGAATGCTTAACAGAAAGTATATACATATATATATAATAATAATAATAATAATAATATCACAATCCAAACAAAAATTACACAAAAATTTCAGAGTTGGTGTAATGAAGAAAGACAAAGGAAAGAATCACCGGTTGCCAAGAAGAGCATGAAGCCTGATGATTAAGTCCTCTTCATCTTCTCCAAAGTCTCCTCGTTTGATGTCTGGTTTCAGATAATTTAACCATCTCAATCTACAGCTTTTGCCGCACCGACGCAACCCTATATATCATCAGCATCATCGTCATCGTCATCCAAACACAATCTTATAAAACAAACCAAGCTGCGATCATATCGTTCTACTTTATTCACCCAGAAACATCAAGTAAATCTGAACAAACTGCACATTAAATATTCACACACACACACACAGAGACAGCTTCTTATTTGGTATATATGGATGAACATAAAGATTATGTTGAAGCCTAAATTAATATAAGAGATCTCTGGGGGGTGTATACCTGCGGCCTGTGGGAGGGAAGGCCAGCAACCTTCACCATGTTTCTGAATGTAATCAATAAGTTTCTGGTCTTCTTCCTTGGACCACGACCGTTTCTGAGAGTCCGATGATGATGGCTTCTGAGAGGAAGGCCTTCTCATGGAAACAACCTGGTATTTTAATTACCTTACGAGGAAATAGGAAAACCAAAGGTGGCCCCAAAGTCCATGAAGCAGCTCAGACACTGATATATATAAACAGACCAGATAGCCAAAACTGCTTAGGATATTGGCAATTAATCCAGTAGTGAACTCTCAGTCTTTTTCCCTTTGACACGTGCCATCTGTCAATTGTTATACTTTAATTAGACCTCCATTGTTATGCACAGTATGATCTATATCAGTAACAAGAGTTTAAACGCATATTTCTAGGATATATTAAAATATTTTATTTCAATAATATAAAAAATTTCAAATTCAAGGACAATAAAAAGAAGAAGATGGGAAATAAAAACAAAATAAGAAAAAAGAAAGAAAGTTAGAGTGACTAAATATTTTAAATAACTATGATGTCTAGAGGATTCGATATTACAAACGGATTTGGATTTGGATTTGGATCAAATTTAAATCTAAAATTTCCTATGTCCAAATGCAACATTATAGGGTTTTATATCTCAAGTGAGCGAAGGGGCTGAGGGGAGTGTGAGATTCTTTATGTTAAGCATGTTTAAGAATAATTTACTTTATCAAAATAACTTAAATCATTTAATTTGACACATCTCAAACTTTATATATTTATGATCTATTTTTTAATTTCTAAATATGAGAATTCTTTTGTTTGTAATACAGAGACTAATGACAATTTGAACATAACAAACAAATTAAATACCAGAACTTGTCCTGCCTCGTTAAGGTCAACCCCAATTGATAATGCTCCGTCTCCATCTTGTTTCATATTAAATTTATATATAATATAAAAATATCACTAGGAGTCTAGGGCGCAAACTTAATTAATACTTGTTAAAAAAAAATTGTCTTGAAACCGAACATATTGCAATTTACATATTGCTTCAGATTATAAAACACGACTTGGATCTATTTGAAATGGTATACGAAGACAAAACGAACCGGCCAATGCTAAAAAAACAAAATACCTGAAAGTTTGAGCATAAGAGGGGGAAAAAATTGTACAAACAAGTTAAACAGAAAAGGTAACCAGAAAAGAACAAAATGTTTGTGAAAACCGGGCGGATGAAACCTGTTTTATCAAGCTTTTTCGTCTCAAGATCATGTTTAAGCACAAGTAGCTTGTAAGCCTACTTTATGCACACATAATAAACAAGTTTAATTTGAACACTTTCGAGTGCATGGATCAATTGACAAAGGTTTTTTAATCCCTTTTAACAAGAGATTTCGAGTGTGAGTGGTGGGTACATAGTAACCATTAAATTCTTCTTGGGAGACATGCCTCTGCAAGCTACCGGCTGGATATTGAAAGTCAAAGACCTAGAATATTGAAAATTCATGCAAAAATGAAGAGGTCAAAGAACCATTTTATATATGAAGAGAGAATCCTAATGCATGAGGTGGTGAAAAACACAGCGGTCTTGAAGGTGTATCTGGCTGGGCACATGACGAGGTTGGATGGATAGAGAAGGGTTGGAATGGTTGTTGACTCATGCATGCATATGGGTGAGGGGTGACTTGAAGATTTAGAATGACAAATTGAAATATTAGGTTAGATGCTGAAAATGAGATTTCCATAAAACTTGGGAAGACATGTCCACTCCTTAAATTCTGTGAATAGTGCGTCAATACGTGTCTATCTCCTATTTGCCAACTCTCCCCACTTTTCTCCTCCTACTTCGGCTTCTTTTACTATCCTTGACAAACTTATTAATGAATGCCTTCACCCTACCCTTTAACCTTTGAAATCCCTCTGTCTAATAATTAATGACCACATTCTAGCTAACTGGAAGTTTCTTATGGTGAAGCCAAAAACAAATTTACTAATCTAGGACATTATAACTTCTCAATACCTAAATTATAATTAAGTCTTCATATTAAAAAAAACACACAAACCAACCAGGCTATATAGAATTTATGTATTAGCTAAAAACTAGTTTTTCATTCTTAATTTTACCCTCGATCTAATGTCCAGGGAAAGAGTAGTGCATTCAGCTACTTAAAAAATAAATAAAATCAAGAGTATACATGCTAGGAAATTTACATTTTCTATAGGGACATTTTCAGAAACAAGTATTAGTTATCATATTTAAAAGATGGGAAAATATATTGTTGGTTCATATACTTTTAACATGTTTTGTTGTTAATTAACTAGTTCATATATTTTTTTCATTGCTCTAAGTCTCTTAAGTTTTATCCTTCTGTAATATTATTTCTTATATTTTTCAAATATGACCATGAGGATTTAATTGTGACTAATGCATATATAAATTCTGTTATTTCTTGTGCCAGCTTGTTAAAATTATGATGACTTATATAAAAATGATTAGAAGGTAAAAAAAAAAGGATATTATATCAAACTCTTTTGAACATGCAATAACTGAAGCTTCAAAAGGAGGAAGGCATGACAACTAAGGCAAATATGCACAAAGATTAGTGATCATTTTGTTCATATTATATTCAAGTCATTATTAACAAAATTATATACACATAAACAGATTTAACTCCATCAACAAGAATAAGAACTAACGTTGTACAGTAGTGAAACTTTAGGGACTTGAAACAATTTAAAAAAAAAGTATAAGAAACAATATTAAAGCATGTTAGAAGTATAGCGACTAACCATTATATTTTCCCTTGAAAATTTGTATTAGGGCCGATAATGGGAGACAAAATAAAAGGAAGGTGGAAAAGCAGGACTTATATTTTGAAACACAGAACGAATTGATTGAGATTTGAAAGTTATGCATGGACTATATTTAATGTAGAGATATTTAGCATAGAAGGGCATTGAAAATTCAACGATACATGTACTAAATGTCTGTGCGGCTCCTTTTTCTCTATATGGAGAGAGAATAATTGGAGGGAATTAAAGCCTATACAGTGAGAGATATTTTCAACCATCGCTTCCACTTTACTTTGTTAATAAAAAAACTAAAATGAAATCTATTACTTTGGTCTTTCATGACGTCGTGGTGTTTGTTTAGCTGTTCATGGGTTGAAACCTGTTAATAATATGATCCTTCTTCTACATGTCTAGCTAATTCTTTGAGCCATGAAAAGGAAATATGAAAAAGAATAAAAATTAAGGATTATTTTTGTTTTTAAACTTTATATGAAAGTTAACTAAAAATTTTAAATCTAACTATAGGTCAATTTTATTTCTTAATTTTAAATATATTCTCTTTAATTATCCTGCAATTTTTTTACTATTAGTTGACTGTTAATGATCCTACATTATATTTTTAATATAAAATATTTGAGTTAGTAATATTCATTAATCTTTTAAATAAAAGTTGAGGAACAAAAATAACTATCAACTCAATAAAAATATTAAAAAACAGCAAGATTCACTAATAATTAATGAACATTAAGTGTTTTTAATGTTAAAATGATGGAGGAAGAAATCTTTAACGTTGGGGGACAAATTAATTTATAATTGAGTTTAAAGTTTCTAATAATCTTTTAGATAAAGATAATAGACAAAACGGTCCTTAACTTAAATTAAAAATACTGAAGGTGATGAGCTTAACAAAGCAATAACCGGAAATAATTTTTTGAAATTAATCTAGAATTTAACAAGACAAAAGTCAAAGGCGTCAAGAATATTAATCTTTGCTCGATAAATATAAAATCTCCATGATAAATTAATGTATATTATTAATTATCAATTCCAATAGCTTAATTTATAAAAGTGGGTCAGATTCGAAGATTCTCAAGCTCTGTTAAAAGTAACTCTTGTAAAAATACTTTTTGCATTGACGTAGACTTGAAAGCTCAGCTGGGTTGGGTAGGTTTGAGCACTTTTCTTGTTTGATGAGTCTTGGACGACGCATCGTGGTCATGGGAAGGACGAAGAAGATACACGTGGCGCTATTAGGAAAATAGGGAGGAGCAAGAGTTGCCAATTGTTAATTGCCCTGCCTAAATATTTTCTTCTCCTTCTTCCTTTTTAATGCTCCTTTTTATTTTTATTATAAAATACTCTCAATCGTTTCACACAATATAATAAAAAAATAAAATATATTTTTATTTTTATTTTTAATTTTAATTTTAAATAATAATATAATTATATTAAATACTTTTATATTAATAAAAAATGAATAAAATTAAAAAAAATAATTTGATTATTATAAAATACTTATATTTTAAATAATTTTTTTTAAATATATTTTATAAATAAAATCAGAAAGATTATATAATATTACTAGGGACATGCTGACTAACAAATGAATTGAGGCTAGAATAGAACAAGTGGGTCCATGGCAAGCTTTTACCTACGAGTGGGCTTCCTTATATGTAGCCTATGCTTTTAAAGCCCAATCCAGTGGGTCAGCCTTATATTTGGGCCCATACTGACGCCCTGACGAAATATGGGTCCTGATGAAGTCTCTCAGGCTTTACAGATTACCAACATGGTTATAAATTTAAGTGCAGTCTTGACGAAGGGTTTATTTTATATTAAAAAAAAAAAACAAATTTTCTGCGAAGGAGAGATTTGATTCTTTAAACAAAAAAAATTATCCCTAACCTATCCCTTTCTGCAAGGGAGACATGCTCCCGCTTCTCTGGTCTTCTTTTAAAGAGATGTTTTGGTGCTATTAGACCAAGAGACCATTAATAAGGGGATTTGATCTTTTTTTAATACGTGGCCATATAGATCCGTACAAGAATAAGAAATTAAGACATGCCTAGATTCATGAAGATTCAACATCTTTGGGATGGAAGTGGATCATCAAAAATCAAAATATGAAGAATGTTGTTTGATGTCTAATAAGCAAGTCAATCCTCAAATTTATTGATTTATCTAAACATATGATTAAAAATAATCATCTAATTTTTAATGATAATGTCTCTAATTTTTTTTATACTTTCAATGAGGAGATAATTTGGGATGAGGTCGTGTTGAATAAGTATAAAAGCTTTAAAAAAATTAGAATAGACATTTATATTGGTAAGTTTGTTCTCCCAACAACGATTTAATATTATATTATGCATATGAAGTAGGAAGTTTTTGTATTTTAGGGCCAACTTATGTAATTTATTTTTTGGTTTAGG